CCTCTTGTCCCGATCCCCAGGGGCTTAAAAAAATTATATCTTGGTTTGGAACAACCTAACTAAAATTGTATCTAGGCCCCTAATGATTTTGGTGATTAATTACAATACGATTAAAGAGGACTGACATTTTTATTTAAGCAAATGTGAAGGTTATTATGTCCTCAATAAATTAGAATAATGCATATCCCGCCAAATACGTTGATGAGATGTGATGCGGCATAGGACAAATGGTATATTGTAACTTTTCTTTTTGTTTGAGTCAATAGGAATGCCGCACTATTAAGAGGGATGATGCATTGATATATGAGGAGTGATCAAAGTGCTCAAAATCAATTTTTAAAAAGTGTTTCTCCTCAAATTGAGTTGTTCTGGAAATTTTCGGAGTTATTCGAAAGCCATTTTCGGACTTTCCGAAAATGCACAGAACCAGATTTCGCTTCTGGAAATTTTCGGATATATCCGAAAGACATTTTCGGACTTTCCGAAAATGACTGTGAAGGCAAATATGGTTCTGTTCATTTTCGGACTTTTCCGAAATTGATTTTCGGAGTTTCCAAAAAACTTCAGTAAAGGCAAAAGTCGCTTTTGTGTATTTTCGGACTTGTTTGAAAGTGATTTTTGGACTTTTCCGAAAACATCCAGAATGATGTTTTGGTGCTGAAAATTTTCGGACTTATCCGAAATTTTTTTTCGGAATGTCTGAAAAATCTTTCGTTGACTTTGCTATTGGTGCTGAGCTGGAATTTTCGGACATGTCCGAAAACCTTTCGGGATATCCGAAAATCTCAATTATTGTGTATAATGGGCAGAATCTGGGCTGTGGCTATAAATAGCCCCCTCCCCTCACTTGTGAGGGCTGCTGGTTCCATTCCAATCATTTGTGCCCTTGGCTTGCTCTCTCTCTAGCACTTTTGAGCCTTGCTTTCTTGTTTTCCCTCTCACCCGTGTTCGATTTGGATTTGGTGTGTGTGTGAGAGTTGTGGATTCGAGTTTGTGTGAGTGCTTGTCATTGACTTCATGAAGATTTGTGAGCACTTGCATCATCTCCGGGAGTTCTTTGCTTCATTTGTTATTCTTGGAGGTTGAGGACTCCTAGGCGGCTAGGTGTCGCTCCCGAGCCACCGATCTACTTGTGGTTGGCCGGGAGAAGTTTGTGAAGGTCGGATCTCACCTCCGAAACGGAAGAGATACCCTTAGTGGAAGGAGGAGTGCTTAGTGCAACCTCTTGAGGAAAGGGTTAGCTAAGACCCGGCTCTTAGTGAGCTCCTCAACGGAGAGTAGAATCCCCTCAAGGATTCGAACTTCGGGAACAACCTCGTGAGCTTCATCTTTGGTGACTTTACTTCCTCCCTCTCCACTAGCTTTGCTTGTTTGAGCCGCTATAGGTCTAGTTGCTGTTTGTACTAGCATATTATTGTTGTAGGCAACTAGATCTAGGATTTACTTTGCTATTTGTGCTGACTCCGAAAATTTTCGGATATATCCGAAAATTTCGGAAATATCTGAAAATTACTGCTTCCGCTTTTAATTGATTTTTGAATTAGCCTATTCAGCCCCCCTCTAGGCCTAATTGACACTTTCACTAAGAATGCAATCAGCAGCAGGAAGATTTATACTTCCTCCGTTTCACAATATAAGTCATTATAGCATTTCCCACATTTATATTTATGTTAATGAATCTAGATAGAGATAGATATCTATCTAGATATAAATGTGGGAAATGCTAGAATGAGTTACAATGTGAAACGAAGGAAGTAATATCGAATGCCAACAGTCATGCATCATCACCACCATATAGCACTATATTTACAGCATCGGTTAGGCTGTCGATTCACATTGTGAAACGAAGGAAGTAATATCGAATGCCAACAGTCATGCATCATCACCACCATATAGCAACTATATTTACAGCATCGGTTAGGCTGTCGATTCACATTGTGAAACGAAGGAAGTAATATCGAATGCCAACAGTCATGCATCATCACCACCATATAGCAACTATATTTACAGCATCGGTTAGGCTGTCGATTCGCCTCTCCTGATTTGCGACGACTACAGTACAGGGGGCGTCGAAATTCCTGATGTGGATACCTAGAGGCTAAAAAGCAGAGGAAAGGCTGCACGTTATCACGACTGACTGGGACTGGGAACTAAGGAAAGGGACGGAACACACACGCTGATCGTAGATAAGTAGCTGGATTTCCATGGATATTGATTGATGATTCCTGTACGATATGTTGAACATTGCTACGAAGAAAGGCCAGATGCAACCAAGACTTGACCAGCAAACGATTTGTATGCTTGGCGCCATTTTGAGCTGTGCTCAACGTACCATCTTGTTGAAAATGATGAGTGTGATGAACGTACGCAGCACTGTACAATTCGCGGACCTTATACACACTTTGTGCCCAAATATCTTATTATTGGACATGGTCAGTGTGACATAAACGCAGCACCATGCGTTTATTCACCAGATATCCTACAGTCGTCTTCCATTCGATCGAATACTACGATCTGGACTAGTTTTTTTTTTTAAAAAGAAAATAATAATAATCCAAGGCAACCATGAACGCAAGCATGCAGCGATCTGGACTCCATCAATGCAAACATGAGAGATTATGACTTAGTCCGTGTTGGTGAATGGTGATGAACAGCGAACCCCTGGACGGGCACGGCGCCGAGAGCTCAGCAGCTTTGGGTGCTATTTTATTTTTTTTTCCTTGATCAAATTGATTTCTCATCGGAAACCATACTGATACTTGTCATGTCATAAATAGCCTTAAACTTAGGGGACCGGCGCGCGCGCCAGCTGCTCTCGGGCCTCCGGCCCATCAGCCCATTTTTTCTTTTTTTTTTCACGATTTGCTTTTTTCTTTTTCTTTTGCAATTTTTTTCGGTTTTTTCTGATTACCTTTTTTAATCTTTAGCACACTTATTTTTTTCAAAATGTTTTGAGTTGAAAGTTTAAATCTTAACTTGAAAATTTTAAATCTGATTTGAAAGTATTCAAATCTCGATTTGAAAATTTTCGAATCTGAGTTGAAAGTTTTTGAATCTGAGTTGAAAGTTTTCAAATCTGAGTCGAAAGTTTTCGGATTGGAGTCGAAAGTTTTCGAATCTGAGTCGAAAGTTTTTGAATCGGAGTCGAAAGTTTTCAAATCTCAAGTTGAAAGTTTTTAAATCTGAGTCGAAAGTTTTCATATTTTTTCAAATCCGTACTTGAAAGTTTTCAAATCTCGAGTTGAAAGTTTTCAAATTTGAGTTGAAAATTTTCAAATTGAGTTTTGAAAGTTTTTAAAATTTGACTTCAAAAGTTTTCAAATCTAACTTGAAAGTTTTTAATCAGTTAGTAGAAAAAATCTTTCGGAAAAAAATCATATCTTAATTACCGTCATTATCTACTAATCACTTAGTTAATTAAACTAAACTATCGGAAATGCTCGCCGCCAACGCGCACGCGCCACTTGTGCCCGCGACGGTGCCGGTGTTTGCTTCACCTCGTGCCACGGCCCAGCGGCGGCTGGAGCGGCATGCTCGCTGGATGGTCGCGAAGGAGGAGGGCGAGGCCGCGGGCTAGGACGCATTGTCGTTGGCCCGTCCTGACAGCATGCGAGGCGGCGGCGTGTGGTCCACTCCGCGTCATGAGGTTCTGGCCGTAGCGACGCGTGGCCATGGGCGGCGCCGTGAGGCTGTGGCTGGAGGTGGTCTGCGTGTTAGCGTGGGTCACGCTTGGTCACTCGGGCCAGCAGCACAGTGACTAGGCTTGGGTGCTGAAGGGATGGCGTGGTGGTCCAGCGACGGTCGTTGAGCACAACGGTTGTATGGGCTTTGATTGGGAATCGCTGGTGAAAACCTTGCCAGGCCATGGGCCGGCATGACGGCGACTATGCCTTTAGGCGTCATTCCCTTTCTTGGAGGCGTCGTTTTGGCGTCGATCCTTCTAGCAGCAAGAACCTTCCGTGTGCAACCTAGCCATTGGTGGACTCCTGCAACACTTCCAAAGCTCTATAGGCCTAAGGTGTTTGACGAGGCCTTCGCCGCCTTGGTCTCGTTTCTTGCTCTGCTGCGGGTGTTCATCATCCTTATTTGGTTACTGTTGGGTAGAGTCGGAGCTGCTTCACTGTACGGGTGCGATGAAGCTCAGCAACGATGATACACTGCAATCTCCTTATAGGGTTGTTGATGCTAGCTATGTGTAGGAAGTGGCTCCTTGGTAGTTTGGGCTGATGTGCTTCGTCAGTGTCAATTTTGTTTGTTCATTTTAGCTTTGAGGTAGCATCGCAGTGAAGTCGAAGCTGCTGTGTTGATTGGGTGGCAAGCTCGGCAACGATAACATGTGTAGGTTGCTGTGTCGCCTCTATGGCAATTTTGGTCGATGCCTTATGTTAGGCTCCGTCGTGGTAGCATATGTTAGGTTAGCTATGGTGTGGTCTTGTAGTTATGGTTTTCGCTCAGTTTTTCCTAATTAACTAGGCAGCGTAAGGTTTGATCCCGTTTTCTTCTTAAAATTGGACACCTTCTTAATATAAAACGTCGGCAATGGCCTGACCATTTTAAAAAAAAAATTACGTCTCCGGGCCTCTTTGCATGTCATCTAAATTACATATTTAATTATAATGGTTATTCAAAATAATATGTTTTTATGATGGTAATGCCACTTTTACCTATCAAGTCTTAATATTTATATCAGTATATATCAGTTAAGATTTTTAGACCTGGCTATGCATATATTCCTCTAAAATATATTCCTCTAAATATATATGTCTATTTCAAAACACTACGTGTACTCCGGAACAGTTCAGCTCTTAAAGAGAACAGTGTAAAACGACGTTGGAACGAACAGTCCTTAGCGAAAACTTGCCAAGTCAAAGTCGTCGGGTGTGTACATAAATTTACATATCATTGTTTATTTGTTTTAATTTTCGTGGTTAATTAGCACCCAAGTAGCTAGGTAGGACATGATAGTGCTACACCCCTCTCGTCTTTATATACGATTCCTCCGTTCCTTGTGAAAACTGAGGTTGCAAAAGTAGTGTGCTCGATATATCCACCAAAAGCACACAGATATTCGCTTATCCATGTCTCCCCACCGAGGAGCAGCTGTGGCTTCTATTTGCGCTGCGTTTTATGATAGTATTTGGCTATTGGTACTACTGCTGAGCACGGCGCTGGCTGCAGAGACACTCGACGGTGCGCAGGCAGCGTCGTCGCAATGCCAGAACGCCACCAAGTGCGGTGGTGTAGACATCGTCTACCCGTTCGGCCTCAGTTCAAGCGGCTGCGCTATGTCGCCTTCCTTTGAAGTCGACTGCAACAACACCGGGAATGGCGTCCAGAAGCCATTCCTTGGATATGTCGAGCTCCTCAGCATCGATGTCCAGCTTAGTCAGGCCCGCGTGAGGACTCGTATATCTTCTTCCTGCTATAACATCTCAACCCGAGAGATGAACTTCGATGACCTGTGGTATGTGGACCTGAAGGACACGCCGTACAGGTTCTCGGACTCCGCCAACAAGTTCACTATTATTGGGTGCCGAACACTGGCATACATCGCCGATCAGGATGACGTGGGCAAGTACATGAGCGGCTGTGTCTCCGTCTGCCGGCGAGGTGAACTAACGAGCCTGATCAATGGCACCTGTTCTGGGAAAGGCTGTTGTCAGACTGCCATCCCAAAGGGCCTCGATTACTACCAGGTGTGGTTTGAGCAAAGCATGAACACGTCGGGGATCTATAATCGAACCCCCTGCAGCTACGCTGTGCTCATGGAAGCGTCCAACTTCTCCTTTTCAACCACCTACCTGACTTCACCGTTCGAGTTCAACAATACCTATGGCGGCGAGGCACCGGTGGTGCTTGATTGGGCTATCAACACCGCCAACACTTGTGAGGAAGCTATGGGAAATCTCACATCCTATGCTTGCAAAAGCGACAATGCAAAGTGTATCAACTCCTCCGATACAACAGGCTACATCTGTAGGTGCCAAGAAGGATACCAAGGCAATCCTTACCTTAAAGGTCCCAACGGTTGTCAAGGTAATTTTCCCTCTACTCCATATAGCCAGAATTTTGAAATTGTGATTATACTCGATCGAGTATTTCCTAACTAGTATGAAATACCTGTATCATGCAGTGAGCTGTGCATACGCAGCTTTCTTAAGTACGTTTCGTTCAACTTCTTTTCGTATTTGAGGGCATTAGACCTTTAATTTGGTTATGCATATAATTAAACAGTTTCCCTCTCACTACTTAAAAACCGATTTTTTATAACGTTGCCCTATAATTTTCGCTGGCGGCCATGGGCTATGACCACCAGCACAAATATGTAAGGAGGGGTCGTGGGTACGGGCCGCCAGCGAAAACATATCTTCGCTGGCGGCTGAGTAAAGCGGGCCGCCCGTGAAGATATTCCTATTTTCACTGGCGGCGGACCTAAGGGACCACCAGCGAAGATGGAAAAAAGATGGAAAGTCTTCACTGGCGGTGTGGTGATGTGGGCCGCCAGCGAAGATGAACCTATTTTCGCTAGCGGCCCACTTAAGCCACCACCACTCCTATTATTTTCTATGGCGATGGCTTAAGTGGTCCGCCAGCGAAAATAGCTTCTCCTATATAAAGTCGAGCCCGAGCTGCCATGCCATTTGAGCACGATTTTCTCTCTTATAAACACAAACATAGGGGAGAAGGTTTTGAAGTCGAATGGTTTGATAGATCCATTGCGCCAAATGTTAGTTATACTTTCTGCTACTCTATTTCTCACTTTTTATTTCATTTTTATATGTTCTATGTTGAGAATTTAGCAAGGCATATGTACCATGGCCATGTTTGTTTTATTTTTTTATGTGGAGCACAAAACGGTCAAACTTTAAATAAATTTGACTGAATTTGAATAAATTCTTACCAAATTCATTAAACTTTAAAAATTCAAAAACTTCAGGCGAGATAGTTGCATACCTATTCCGAAATTTCGAAGCAAAATTTCAATCCCTGATCCTAACACTAACAGATACCCCAAACGTCGCCGTCGCTTTTAAGGTCCATTGCCGGAGAAGACGTATATACATTTGTTGTCACCATTGCTGGTCTGAAACCACCGCCACCATTTGGCTGTATTTTGCGTGGGAGAGAAGCGTGGTGATGATAGCGATCGAGAGTAGGAAGAAGCTAGACGACTCGATGTCCGACGTCGACAACACTTTGTTATTAGTCGACTGATGGTTTCGGAATTTTCAGCTAACTGATCAAAAGCAAGGCTATTTTTTTTTAAAAATATTTCTAGTCTTTGTTTCATATTCTCACTTTTTTTCCATTTTAGATTTCTTTTTTTTTCCCGCGGACCGCTGTCCCCCCCTACCTCCTCTCAAGATTGCCGGATTCATTTTTTGTTTTACAACATTATTAATCCATTCAATTTTATTATTGTCTTTTTTTAAAAAAATTACCTATACAAATTCAAGTTTGTTAGATAATTGCTTTTTTTTTTTTTTGCATATGGGTACTTGGGCAAGGGGATCATGGTGAGTGACCGTGAGAAAAATGAACAAGGACTAAAAGCTAATCAGCTCATTATTGATTAGCTTTTGTACTAAAAGGAGCCTATTTTTATAGATGCATGTAACGCTATATTTTTCTAAAAAACTTTTCATTTGATTGTAGATATTAATGAATGTCAACATGGAGAGAATTACCCTTGCTATGGAGATTGCTACAATAAACCTGGAAGTTTCGATTGTGTGTGTCATGCGGGTAGTAGTGGAAATGCGGCAATTCAAGGAGGATGCCGAAAAGACCTCTTATCACCGAAAACACGACTGGCAATTGGTACACATTTATTCCAACTCTATGTTACCTCATCTTGATCTGCTTGATCTCTGTTTTAAACATATCAGTTTCAAAACACTTTGCTAATCATGTATCTCTGTTTCCATAGGTGTTGTTGCCAGTGTATTGGCTGTCCTCTTTGGATTCCTAGGATGGGAAGTGATTCGACACAAACAAAAAATTAAACGACAGGCTCTATTAAGACAGACTGATGAGTTTTTTCAACAACATGGAGGCCAGATATTGCTAGAAATGATGAAAGCAGATGGAAATGATGGGTTCACCCTCTACAAGAGAGGGGAGATAGAGACTGCCACAAATAATTTCAGCAAGGCACATGTCATTGGGGAAGGAGGGCAGGGAACAGTTTATAAGGCTGTTATAGATGGAGTTGCCGTCGCAATAAAGAAGTGCAAGGAGATTGACGAGAGCAGGAAGATGGAGTTTGTGCAAGAGCTGGTCATACTTTGTCGTGTTAGCCATCCCAACATTGTCAAGTTGCTTGGCTGTTGCCTCCAATTTGAGGCACCGATGCTTGTGTATGAGTTTGTACAGAACAAAACACTGCAAGAGCTGCTAGATCTTCAGAGGAGTAGGCGGTTCCATGTCACACTGGGAACCCGCCTAAGGATTGCTGCTGAATCCGCAGACGCACTTTCACATCTCCACTCTTTGCCACACCCAATACTCCATGGTGATGTGAAGACAGCCAACATCCTTCTCGCAAATGGCTTGGTTGCAAAGGTGTCTGATTTTGGATGTTCGACGATTGATAAGAGAACTCAGGCTGTACCCAAAGGCACACCAGGGTATATTGACCCGGACTATCTAGTTGAGTACCAACTCACAACCAGAAATGATGTGTATAGCTTCGGAGTCATTCTTCTTGAGCTTCTAACCGGTAGGAGGCCACTGTCAAAAGAAAGAAAAAGCTTAACACTGATGTTTCAGGAGGCTAGGTCCAATGGCACACTCATTGAGCTCCTTGACAGTGACATTGTTGATGAAACGAGCATGAGAGTGATCAAGCGGGCTGCAGATCTAGTGAGTCAATGCTTGGTTGTTCCGGGTACGACAAGGCCATCAATGACACTAGTGGCAGCGGAGCTCCGCCGATTAGCGGAAGCAGATGAAGTGAAGCGAAGCCCACAGCCACCATTGGTGCTCGAGGATCTGAGATTTATGGATATGGGCAGTACAACGAACACTTTGTATGGAGAGAGCAGGACGAGTGGGGCTTATAGCTTGGAGAAGAAAGCTGTGTTGAGTATAGAGTTTGCGAGATGATCGATGTATTACTTGTTATATTGATTCCCTTGTGTCGTTTTCTAGTGCGTGTTGGATTTAGTGTTCTTCCTCACTTTGGGGGTGGAGGATCTGGTTTAGTTTTTTTTTTTATTTTTGACTTGAGGATCTGGTTTAGTTGTGTGTGATAGTGAAACATTTGTTGTGTGGATGTGGAGTAACAGTACAAGAACCTGTAAAACATTATAGCATTAAGTGTATTCTATAACTAATGATTAGTAGAATTGTAATCTAACAAAACTATACAGTACTTCTTTTATTGTTGTTGCACATAAAAAGAAAACTGCAATACATCTCCGTTAGAAGAATTAGGGATTTATATCTTTTCATTTGTTAGTCTTAATACAATTGGGAAAACTTACAATTAGCATCATTAAAGAAGTCTTTTTTGTATGTGCATATTTTCAGAAATGATGCTTGGTAACTACCCAATTCTAGCAGGAAAATAACACCATATACGAGCTTAGAACTTATATTAGTATAGAAGAATATTGCCATCTAGAAAAATAAAGTTCATAAAAAAGGTTGCATCTAGACAAAGACAAATAGAACAATGTAGTGGTAGAGAATTAAATTTTGATTTCGAAGGAAGATTGCTGCTGCCCTGAAGGAAAATAAAAGTGCATCATGCATATTTTTGTTAAATAAGTCTGTTGTACTCATAAGGTTAAGCTGTTTAGTCCCGTAATTTTAGTCATAGTTTTTGATTGACAATTCCTGCATGAATATCAGATATCTCATTCACAATCACAAGCAAAACTGAACGCATATATTTCATACAGCCTCAGAAATGAATTGAGGGTTCATATCCTTGCGCCGATCAATCCATCATTCGATGCAAAGCTGACATATTTACCAATGAAATAGCTTGCTGTGTTCTTTTCAGCACGGAGGTTCATCCAGAAAGTAATTGCCGGATTGTAATGCTCCATTAGTTATGCAGTGCATGGCGGATCGGCTGAGGAAGACACATCGGTATGGCTATATTACATAGATAAGTGATAGCTAACAAATAGTCAATTGTGTACTCTATTATGTTTGTATTGCTCTTTTACTGAAGTTCTGCCATTGCAAAGATATATAATTTCCTGAGAAACATTAATGAGCGATGAATTAATTGTATCCTGGGGAACATGATTCCTTCAACATATCCATCCAACTATTGGACAAGGGGAAGGTAGCAGTTATTTGAAGGAACGGTTCACATCAGTTACCACCGTCTGTCCAATTGTCCATTTGACTGTACTTACTGGGTCGTCGTTTTACATCATTCGTCCGGATTTTTCTTTGATGTTGCCACAGCCGACGAAAACCATACCATTTGATTGAGTATTACGTCAAATCGTCAATGCAATTTTACGTTAACGCTTACAAGCTCTGTACTTTTTTATTGTCGTTTTACATACCAAATTATGGAAGGCGCTTTTAACAAGAAATTTTAAGAACATAAGATGTAATAAAAATGTCGTACAATGGAATATTTCAACAGTTGCTCCAAGTCGTGATTTATTCGGACGAAGTCGAGATGCAACGGCGACTTGGTCAGGTCATTGGAGCATCTTGTTGGGAATGGCCGGTGTGCTAAACAGAGCACTGTCCATGCACGCAATGGATGATCGATACATCAACGTTTCGTACAAAAGTTTTTCATCTTCAAGTTTCTTTAAAAACAAATAAATATATTTCTAAGTTTATAATAGCAGTCAATACTTAATCAATCATTCATCGTTTGTTGCCCATATGTCATGTTTTATTTAACATGTACTCTTAATACGATGATATATATGATTCATCTAATGTATGGTCATATATATTTCTAGTTAATTTGAGGCTATTAGGAAGTGCCCAACTATTATTAATAAATTATATAGACAGATCATAGCAACATGATTTACGTATGGAAAGCTTCTTGAACCACTAACTACGACTCTCTCCTTCAAAAATATAATTATATGCATCTAGATAACTAATGTATCCGTTTTATATTATAAGTCGATTTAACTTCTTTCTAAGTGCTTTGATCAATAAAAATAAAAAAAATATCAAAATATATTTAATGTTAGATTCAATAAAACTAATTTAGTGCTATAAATATTCATGCAGTTTAAATAATCCAAAGCGATTTATAATATAAAATAGAGAGAGTATATTTTAGAACGGTGGGAATGAATAACGTTTTTTTTCATCTGGCAGAGATGCCAGTTGTAGGAAAAATAGTAATGCATGCGAAGACTTTGTTGAGAGTTATAAAAAATAATGACTTTGTTGAGTTAGTCAAGTCGCCGTTAACGTTCAGAGCTTGTTCACTTTGTTACCATTTTCAACCTTAGCAAGTTTTGGCAAAGTTACCAAAAAAATGACTATATTTAGTTTGTTGCCAAATTTTAGTAAGCACATATGAAATCTTGCCAAAATTTGACAACCTTGTCAAAATTTTGACAAACTTACCAAAATTTGGCAATGACAAAACTTGATAAGGTTAAAAATGGTAGCAAAATGAACAAGCCCTTAATCTTTTTCATTTCTTCTATAATTCTGTGGCTAGTGTCCAAGTAAGGATCGTTTCTTGCCGGGACGGCCAAATTCGTTGACCGCCCTATGTGTATTAAGGGAAAGAGAGTTACAGATAGATGTTACAAATCGACATTAAACTGTCGAGGGCTTTGGGTTGAGAGGGAAGATAAAACAAAGAAAACACATTGGCTCATTGCCGTGCAGCTAACTGCCCAGCAAGTCTACTATCTCAAAGATTCCTGCTTCTCTCCAAGTGAGGATCTCCTCTCTGATCATACCATAAATTTGCTCTCATGTCTTGGAACTCTGTTCGAAGATCCTCGCGTTATGTTCCTTCCAGATGAACCAGCAAACCATGACCACTAGCGAATAGAACGCTTTCCTGTAGCGCATCTGAAAAACAAGGCGCGGATGAGCCCACCAGTCAGAGAAATCTTTTTCGTTTTCCTACGGTAATGGGAATGGCGTCCCGATCCACCCTCTGATCATGCGCCAAACTCTGTTAGTCAGAGGACAGGAAGAGAGGAGGTGCTGGCAGGTTTCGGGATCTCTGTTTCAACCGATTTCTTTGCGACTCAGGCCTGTTTAGTTGGCAAAAAATTTTGCCACTGCATATCACATCGGATATATGAATACACATTTGAAGTATTAAACATAGTCTAATAACAAAATAAATTATAGATTTTGCCAAAATCTGCGAGACAAATTTATTAAGCCTAATTAATCTGTCGTTAACAAATATTTACTATAGCACCACATTATCAAATAATGACGCAATCTATCTATCTATCTATCTATCTATCTATCTATCTATCTATCTTCTATCTATTATTATATACTAAAAGTCCATTAAACTTCCTACAAACACTCCTAGGCTGCCACGTCGTGTTCCTATAAACGCTCCTATGCCGCCACGTGGCACTGCAATAAATCATAGAAATTATAAGAAAAAGAAAAAACATCTAGCCGTCGATTTTCATTTAATCTGGTGGTCCCAATATTTTTAACCATTAGATCGATCTTAAAAAAGTCCACCTGTATTTCCAATCATTGGTACGTGCGTACCTAAGTACGTAGGAATTTCTAAATCTAAAACAAAAGTGCGTACGTACGTGCACATGCTGGGCCCCACGCCTTTCTATATTTCTTTTTCTTCCGTTCTCGCTTAGATAAAAACCAAGGTAATAATTTGTAAAAACCTATATAAACTATGCTTTAATTTGTAAAAAAAAAATACTCCCTTCGTCCCAGAATATAAGAAGTTTTAGAGTTGGACACGGTTATTATGAAAGTAGGCAGAAGTGAGTGGTAGAGGGTTGTGATTGGATTAGTAGTGGAGTGTGATTGGTTGGAAAGATAATGCTAATGGAGAAGCTGCTATATTTTAGGACAAATCTTGAGGGTTAAAAGTTATTATATTTGGGACGGAGGGAGTATGTTATTTTGATTTTGTAACTAGGCGCATGCCATCAAAACATCCACGAAAAATATAAATTATATCTCTGCTATTATAAAAATTGAAGATGTTTTTACCAGTACTTTAGTACGTCATTCGTATATGTGTCGGTATTTTAACTCTGTTCGCTTCTGCAAATAAATATACGTATTTGAGTCGGTTTTTAAGTTTGTGCGCTTTTGCAAATACAGGAGAATTTGTATAAGAAATCTCTTTTAAAAAAACTCGCATGTTAATTTGAGATGATCGGACTACCAATAAGTGGTTAAATTAGACTTACGTTTCAAAAATAAAAAAAACCTATTTGTGAGTAGCATTCTCAAACTTATTTACTCCCTACTGAAAAATATACTAAAAAAAACCCTGTTTGTGAGTAGTTAAATTAGATATGTGAAAATGACATTACTAAATTTATCACAAACATACTTTTCATGTATTATGTGCTTCTCTATTTATATATTATTAGAAAAGAAAGATAAAATATATTCTTCAGACATCGACGTCGATGTTCTTTATCTCCTACTTAGGCTTCGTTCGCTACTTAGGCTTTCGTTCAATCTAGCTCATTGGATGGGCTTATCAAGGGTCCGCAAAACTATATAGATCATTAGCGCGAGATTAATTAATTATTAAATTATACAATTTTAAAAATGGATTTCATTGATTTTCTAAAACATTTATATAGAAATATTTGTAAAAATACACACCAACCATTTAGCAATTCGGGAAATACGCTCATGATAAATAAAGGAGTAGTCGATTTGAAAACCACTTTAGAACTTAGCGTTAAATTCATTACTTATGTACTAAAATTCTTAATACTTAGTATATAATGTACATTATCAATCAGAAATAGCCTAATATATCAATTGTATATCCCCACTACTCCCTGTGTATATAATTTCTATATACAAACTACTATCCACCAAACACCAAGTCATACTGCGCATCTATGCACACTACACCTATTAATTAGGTGACGTACAACGAGCATGTGTATCATCAAGCAACAAAGAAAAAAAAAGATACTAAGTGAGCAACCATTAGGTAAGTAGAGGGTGCCACCAAGCCACAACAAACTATAATTGACTACTAGCAGACTGTGAGTATAACTAAATGTGTTTTTATACTCCAAGCACTTCTAAAATATCACGTGATGCTCTCATATATCTTTAATATCTCAAAATTATAAGTAAAAAGCAAAAGATCTTGCCATTGATTTACACTTAAATCGGGAAATCCATTATTTTAAGCCATATATTAGATCTATTCAAGTAATC